CAGCAAGGAGAGGAAACACAAAATATATACTTAAATAAATTCTTATTCATTTTATTTTTCTATAAGAGTACATGTATCAAGGAACAAGAACAGAAGCGTGAAGTAACACTGTGAATGAACATTTTTAGGTTATAGTCATGCAGTGTTCTCGTAACACTGAATGAAACCTGGACATCAAACTTTACAATGTAAAGGTTTATGCAACTGTAAAAGGATATATTTTATAAAGCAAATAAAGGGAGGAAAGGAAATATATAATCAGGATTTATAATTCTCATGCACAGTGCTGTCAACTCTTCTAATTCATGCTTAGAATGTGCCTGGGTCTTCATACAAGAACCTCATCAGTTTTCATCTATTAACGAGGTAATTCTGTGTTTTTTTCAAATGGGAAAACAGAGGCTCTTAGCATTTCAGTGACTGGCACAGGAAAACTTAAACTAATGTCTATCTTGACTACATAATGAGGAAAATTTGACTGTTTTCTGTGCCAATAGTTTCTGTATGTTTTCTCTAGTTTTATGTGTATCCTCAAATGTTAAACCAATAGTGAATGCTGAATTAATATGTGTAAGGAAGCTAATGATGGTAAATTTAGGGCCCAGTTCCTCAGACTTTAATCATGGAAATAATCATTAAAGGAAGGAACAGGAAAATTCGCGCTTAAGGATTTATGAATGAAATTGGGGCTGATGCATGGAGCAGCTATGCAGAGTGACTCTGAAATGTCACATTGTCCTTCCTGTTCAAGCATTTCCTTCCCTGTGACAGACAAATTGGGTAGTGACACAGGTTTTTTTCTTGTGTATGCATGTTGATGGGTTTTTACACATTTTACACATCTACAAATGTAGTTTCCAATGCATTGCATTCCTTATGATGCTGATACTGTTGTTTGTATAGTACCATTTATTCACTAGAAAAGCTAAGTACAGGGTATGAAGAGAAGATTCCAATTGGAAAGAAGATACAAATGAGAAATGAGGTGCATGAAGAAGCATTGGAATAGAACAGTGAAGCTTAGCAAATACTTGCTTGTTCCATATTTGATGGCTGGTTTTTACAAGTTTTCCTATCATTAATTTACTGTGTCAGGGGAGGGAGTATATTACAAATTGTAGATTGTAGGTACATTATAAGTCTTTTTCTGAGGCTTATTAGTTGAATGCTTTTCATGTGTACTGATAGGAAGTTCTTTAAATTGTTCGGGGTATTTCCTGAACACTATAGCAAATGAGATCAGTTTGACAGAGCAACAAGTTTAAGCAAAACATTTTCTCTTTAATTCACATTTGTGATCCAGTCTAAATGCAGCTATTTAAATAAAATTTTAATATGGGAAAATCTGGTTCATTAACTTTTAAAATTCATTCCAAATAAATTCATATTCCTCCTACAGAGCTCATGAATTTGCTTGTACGGAGTGTGCCTCTCTTCTTATGATATGACTGTTCCTAAATGTCATAGTCACTATAAACTAACCACTGTGAGATTGCATATAGTGCAAATATAAATGAGTATTGACAGAGTATATGCAATAAAGGATATAGACGGTCATTAGTATTATTCTGCTGTTTTGCTTTCCTGGAGAATAGCAGCTAAGTGCTGTTGGAATGGATAAATTAAAATCAAAACCTGAAACAAAATACTAAGGCATTTGAAATCTTAGTGGAGACCTGGCAGGTGATAAATTTAATGTTTGCTTGCCTATCAGAGTATAATCTGAGTTTCCTCAAATAATTTCATTCTAACATCTAATAAATGGCAGCTTTCCTTTAATGTTATAGTATTTTAAAAGATTACTTCAGATGCCTTTTAAATTTTCTTTTTTCCTAGTTTAAAAATGGCTTCATTAATTCTTTTCACAGCCTTTCCAGCATTCAGAATACAGTGTGTTAGGATCATTACAGTTGATTGCATCAACTGGAGCTATATCATGAAAAGCACAAAGCCAGAATCTGGAGCAGATTCAATATTTACAAAATTACAGAATTTTAATTTGGTTTTTACTTCCTGAATTTACTGATTTATAGTTTGTATATTGGCAGTGCACTATGGCCACTGGATGAATAGGTGCTAAGTCCTGTTCATTCTCTAGAATAAAAAGTATTCAAAAGGTTTTAGCTGAATATAGCTTTTTTAAGAAAGCCATTATTTCCTGGGAGCTAATAAGTAAGCAATGCATATGTTTGCTTTCTCATTTCCTTCAACTTAACATTACATGTAAGCCAAGGCATATTTATTTATCCAGTCCAGCAGAAGACTTGGTCTGTGTTATTCTCAGTAGATGATCTGCCTGGAAGAACAAGCATGTTTGAACCATCCTGTGCAGTGGTTCATATACAGTAAATAAATGTGTATGAACTTAAGCCTCAGGAAGTCTATATACATGCATGTGTATTGGCATGGGAAGTGAGGCTGGTATCTATGGGACAGTTACGTACAAGAAAAATCTACCCTGATTGCCATTTAAAAAGATAACTAATTCCATACTTTTGAGAGAGATTGGAGTCATAACGATAGGGTAACTCATGGGAAAATCTATGCTATATGCCCAGAGTAGGAAAAAGGTGATTTATGAAACACAATGAGGTTCTTATCTCCTTGAAATTACATGTTAACGTCTTCACGGTTGTGAAATACGTTACATATGTGGTATGCAAAATCACTTTGGTTGATGAAGCATTCTGAAAAATTAACTAATTTCCAATACTAGAGGATTCTTATGTAGGAGAACTAGTGACAAGACTGTTGTGTCTGCCTTCTGTTCCCTGTTTTATTGGTGTTAAGGCACATGGTCTGTTCTGCTAACCCCTAGCAGTGATTGTAACTAATTACACGTACCTTGCAGCAACAGATAGTAAATTTGAGTCTGCTGACTTACAGAGAATCATTGTGGTTTTCTCACTTCTCAGCAGTCAATCTTTAATAGTAACTTTGATGTAAGTGATTTCATGGCTTCTTCATTGCTTCTCATCTTTTCCAACACTTTTTCATACTTCCCTTAATTTTCTAAGTTTTGCAAGTTATATGTTCAACATTTGGTTTATGTGGAAAGGATAGTACTGCAGGAGTTAATTTACTTGGATAATGTCCTCAGGAATATTTTTGCTGCCTTACATGAGTCAGAGGTTAGGGTGGAAGTCTCCAAGTTGCCATAATTACTGTTAGTGAAGAGCAACAGGTGAAGGGTGGTTCAGAGTAAGAGCTTGAGGAGGATGATCAGAGGTTGGATCTCTAATGTAATGGATGCCAGATGTCTTTTGACTTCATGCTGGAATGGGCTGCGTTCTGGCCTGGATTCTGATTTGAGAGCAAGAATACCAAAGCTGGAAGCAAGCTGTGCTCAAAATGATAGGGTTTTGATACGGGGATTATATAAGGGTGGCCATCCCTTCTAAATGTATCCTAAATTGTCCCTGGTAAGAATGTCTTGTTTCATTACTCTAGAGTGGGCTTCAGGAGACTAACCTCACTGCTGGGGCATCTAGATGGGTGGTGAGCTGTGCCAGGCCTTCAGCTGCAGTTAGAATAGGATGGCAGCTGCTATAATCATTATGCCTTTTAGCAAATAATTCTTAGCTAATGTATCATGCAATAAATACTGATAAATTAAAGTTTCTGCAAACTTCAAACAGGAAATGATGACACAGAAGGTGAGAGAAATTAACTGTTATTTATGTCAACTGCCTGTAGTGCAAGGCTGGGATGAATTAATCAGCAGTGACCTGGTTGCTCCGTTGAGTTCTTTAGTGTTATGCTACGAAAAAACACGATCCATTATGTGTTGCATTGCTAGGACTGTAAAAAGAGCTATGATTAAATATGCCCTAGTAATTAGTTTTAATACTGCTATATTTTATATACACAAGAAAATATACTGTTTTCTTACCGTGACTATTAGAGCATGTCAAGTCTCAGACAAGGTCTTCTTTCAGCAAAGGAGCTATTTTTTCACCTTATATCAAAGTTATTTTTTATTGAAATATTAGTTAATCCTAACTGAGCAATGAATGCAGAGTATTTTGATTTTGGCAACTAGAGACCTTAGGGGAACTTTCCTTTATCCTGCTTTCTTATAGCACTTTTACCTTTTACCTTCAAGAGCAGCAATGAGTGTCATTTTAGCTGATAAGCAGGTATGAACATTAGCAGTATGTGAATGCTTACAAGCTTGTGGAAGCTGCAGCGGTTTTTTTGTTGTTCAGTTCAGGTGGACCAAATTTCACTCTCAGCTTTCTTTTTCTAAGAGAAATGTTTGTGATCGTTAAAGTACCAACGAGCTGATAGCTGTAATTCAATAAACTGGCAAACATTCAAGAAGACAGAGATTAATGATGTGACCTTTTTAATCAAAATTCCTAAAACATCATGCATTTACATTATTTTTTCAGTATTATTATTGTTGTGTTTGTGAATGTAAAGACAAATGTTAAGCAATTTGTCTTAAGTAGAAACTGATATACTGGTTAGCACTGAAAGACTGCAAGGCCTAGAGGAAAAGGAGGAGAGAAAATACAGCAGCTTAGTAAAACAACTGTCAGCTGTAAGGAAGTAGCACTGTTGCTCAGAAAGCTGCACTGCTTAAAGTATTTTTCCTTCATACAGTTCATTTCTCAGACTGAGAGAGTGAAATTGCAATGGCATTCTTAACACTGGGCAAAATATCCTGGTAAATTGGAATGTGACTGTAATACTGCATCCATAAGTTGTGTGTATTTTGTAGACTCAGAGGCAAATGTTGGTCTGTTCCTTTATTAGTTTTAGGGAGCAGGAGGTTTTTCCCAGGTATTATTAGTGGCAGAAAGCATCTAGAGTGCCAGAGATGTTAAAAAGTTAGACAGTATGGTGGTAAAGCAATGTTTAAATGATACAGTGATATTAAACATTATAAGAAATAAGGAAAGGGACTAAAACTTTGTTTGTCTGTTTAAATGAAGAGGAGGAAGGCTGTAATGCTGTTGAGCCGTTATTATATCTGTAGTCTTCTGACTTTTCAGCGCAATCCTCCCATGCTGGTCAATGATCTGTTTGAAGATATCAAAGATGGAGTAATGCTAATCGCCCTTTTGGAAGTCCTGTCAGGGCAGAAACTGGTAAGAACTTCCTTCTTTCTGAATATATGATATTTGTAGAACTTCTTTAGGATATAATTTTCTGATAAGCCTCTATGATTAAATACCATAAAACGCTTGACTGCTGCATTGCAAAATAAGTTTACTCACAGAGAAGGCTATCTACTTACAGTGAAAAAAGATTATTAGAAACTGACATTCTTCATGCTTTTTTAAATTAATTTTATCTTACTAGTTGATAAAAGTTGCTTATTTTTGTTAGTCTTTGTAATTCATCTGGGTGTTAGTACTGTGCACAGACAAGGTCAAAAGCCCAAGCTACTTTGGTGCATCTTAAAGAAATAATGAAAGCCTTTCATGTTTAATTTACATCTTTCTCTTTGAGAAAATGGTGAGCCCCTAAAATTGCATTGGGGTCTAATATCCATTTGCCCTGAGGGCTGCTCTGCTGCTGTGAAGAATCTTAGCTGATACCAAATGACTTTTTCCCAACCACATTGTGTAAAGAAGCCACGATGTAGACTGTTTCTTGGCAGCCAGGTTATTGCTGTGTGTGATATGGGAGGGACGTGAACAGGTTCTAGGCCCAGAGTTCTCACTTTTCCAAGCCAGCTCACAGACCAGGTAGTGGCATCTGAAAGAGCGGAGCAGCAGTCCCTCTTCCTGTTTGCTGTTGGGTGCAGAAGTTACCTATTTCTGCACATTCAGGTAACTTGCAAATGCTACACTCTTTTGCCTCTTTTTCATACAAAACTTCTGTTTTGATTCCAGATGATACCCGAAATTAACTAGTAATTCAAATTGAGAGAGTGATTGTAGTGTAAGTAAGTGGAGGAAGTTAGGCTTTCCAGTGTGTTATTTGCTCTGTTGCAATATACCAATTTCTCTGTTTCTGTTCCTCCAAGAAAGTAAGGCTCCCTCTTGTGGTAAAATATAAGCAGTAAAACAGGAAAAAAAATTTTAATGCAGTTAACCATTAACAGTGACATTCACTGGATTGTATCCTGCCTACATTAATTAGTGAAAGATAGGAGATATCACAGAACCAGAATAGCGTCTGATTAATTTAAAGGTGACGTATAGGAGAATATGATGTGTTGTAGTAACTGGAACAGGGATTTCAGAATCTGTAGCAAACCTTTGCTATATCTGTTTATAAATACATGAATAGGAATTTAAAATCTAGTAGGTGTATATTTGCATTAAAATATAAGATTCAGTGATTTGAAATTCCACTTGAAAGTGTCAGAAGCCTAGGATATATTCTTAATTTAATTACAGGGATTCTTTTTTTTTTTTTTTTAATCTACAGTTCAGGAAAATTTATTTTTCAACTGGGATTTGTGATAGGTTTTTTTTTTTTAAATTGCTAGTGAGATATCAGAGAGACTTGATTAAAAATCTCCTAGGAAAAATGACTTTATTGTACATTAAATTTTAAAAATAACAACCATTATGATTTCTCCTTTGCAGGCAAAAATATTTTGCTGAGAGCATGTTACTGTGTCTGAAGTCTATTTAAAAAACAAAAGTAGTTTATGTTACATAGGAGAAACAAATCTCTGATATGATGAGGATTCTAATGTGTTATTTAGAAGCATTTAAAAATTCAGTGAACATTGTAAACATTCAGGAAGTGAATACATTCAGGCATGTATACATTCAGGAAAGAATTTAAAAAAAAAAAAAAAAAGTAAATACTTATCAGCTTGAGTCCTGCAATTATTAAGGCATCTGTAACTTGTTGATAATAGAACTATGACATTTACTTACCTTATATATGTATCAATCCTCCATGTCAGTGTATGCAAAAACCTATTTAACTTTTCCAAGGAATATTTGTACATGTGAATAAGATTATTGTATGTATGCACTTATAACGATCTGGAACTTACCTTTTTTCAGCAAATTGGCATGAATATAATTGGAGTTTGCACTGTTCTTTCTCTTTAAGCCTTGTGAGCAGGGACGTCAACTGAAGAGAATTCACTGGGTTGCCAACATTGGCACAGCTCTTAAGTTTCTGGAAGGAAGGCGGGTAGGTTTGGTGGCACTTAGTCCTGGCTTTTCATTTTTGCCTCTATTTTTTTTTTCCTCCTCGAATTTATGATTTGTATCCACCTACCTGGTCTTATTCTCTTAAATCAGAGCTATGTATGCTGTCTCAGTTTATACGTAGTGCCTAAAAACTGCTGTAGACATGAAGAACAACTGTGTCAAGATCCAGCACTAGTATATAGCAGTGTATAGGACACAACTTTTCTTTTTTTGAGTTAGAATCAACTTGGATGATCTTCTTCCTTTTTTCTATGCTCTTCAGCTCTTCATCTTCCCTGGAACTGTTAAGCAAAGTTAAGAATGATGGTCATGAATAAAAGCAGTCATTTATAATTAAAAGAATAGATTCATGGACTTCACTAGATCATACTTGCAATTCTGTACTCCCTGGAAGTACAGACATGAGAATTTAGAACAGTGTGACCCTTATTAGCTTGGCAGGACTTCAGACTAATTCCTGGATTGATTCTGGAAAAAATCAGCACTGTTGGCATTTTTGAAAAGTAGCAAAACATCTTAGAAAATTAACAAAAGACAAAAAACCGAAACCCTCAAAATGTTCTGGGTATGAATGCCAAATAAGAGCAATCTACTGCTACTTTTATTTCTGAGTTTTCTCTCTGTATTATACTGGCTTACATTTACATTTTTAAAACTAGATTACTGGTATTTTGTCCTTGTTATTTCTGCATTTTAGTGTAAGGTTTTTTAACGCAGATACACCACCTAAAGTATTTAATTTCTCCCCAGTGCTGTACACCAGGAGTCATTGAATTTTGGCATGCTTTGCCTTTCTCTAACCCTACGGCATCTTGACCTAATTGCTTTTCAGTAACATGAAATTAGCAGATTCCTGTAGAAATAAATCTATCATAAGAGAACGTTGGTTTTTTTTTTTTTTTTGACTCAGTCATGTTCAAAAATATGTAACCAAAGCAAATTTCTGCCTGAGGCCACATTATTACTAGTTAATGTAGTACAATTTGTTAATATGAACTGTATCGTATGCAGCCTGAGAGTGGACGACCCAAATAAAATGAGAGGTGCTTTTCGGGTAAGTTCTGTATAACCTGAGGGAAGACTGAGGTGCAGAGCAGAAACCCCACCTTCCTAGTCTACATGTCCCAGTGTAGTGGGTGACCAGAACTTTGAATGACCCAGCTCAGATCCCAGAACTAGTAGCAGTGCAGCTTAATAATTATCACTGCTAAAGATACATTGCCAGAAATAGAGCACTGTATTTTCACTTGTGATATCTGAAAGTTCTTGTCTGGATTTTTCTTAGTTATTTTTGTACGTACTGTGTATTCATCAGTGTGCAAAATTTCCTAGTAAAGAAAATTGGAAACATGCATTGTGCCAGGTAGAGTGGTGTGCTGTACCGGGTGGCCTGTGGCTGAATCCAGCCCGAAGGATGTGTCTGTCTCCTTTGTCAGCCTTCCTGTCCCTGAGGAAGTGGGGATGCTGTTCAGGCAACAAGTGCCTCTCCAAAAGCTGAGTGCAGTCAGTGGTAGACACTCAGAGGCCAAAGGAAGGAGATCGCTGGCTGCCCTTGCTGCCACTGCCCACCGCTGGAGAGGGAGAATTAAAAGAAAAAGTAGGAAACGGGGACCTTTGTATATGAGAAACGCAGGAGATGTCTATTGCAAAGAGGAATGACCTGTGGAAGACCCCAAAACGTGTATACAGTTCTCACAATTAGGGTGATTGGACCACCAGTGATCCCTCTGCCTCCACTATGGACTTTTCCATAAGTAATGATTGTTACAGGTTAAAGTAATTTCCTGTTTTCACTACCCAACCAGAATCCTGCAAATATTCCCATTATGCTACAAAAATACAGTTGGCATTCTGGCAGATATCATTCTGGACCAAGCTATTTTTTCATGATTCTGAAAAGTTTATTTTGTAGTTCTTCAATCCATTTTGATAGAGTATAAGACAGAGATAACACAATAACTAGACTCGACAAGCTGTATCTCCATGAACAATGGCCTAATCAAAAGGTTTAACTGAGACCCCATGAATCTTTCATCTGTAATACCTGTAAAAAAACAACAAAAAAAACACCCCTCTTATTTTCTAGAAAAAGAAAAACTTTTTTTGGAATTGAGCCAGCTAGGAGAATGAGACTCTCGATAAAGAGAGTCCATACTCTTCCATAGAGAGTTAACTTCACAGGCGTGCACAGCAGAGTTTTTTTTTTTGTTTGTTTGTTCTTGACACTATCTAGTGGGTTTCCAGCTGCTAATTCAGAGGACTGCAGTCTTTCCGTTTTGTGGAGACAATCCAGGTCACTTGAAGTCAGTCTTATGCATTTTTTTCACCTAGTCTCCAAGGTACTGCCGTCATCTTTTCTTTTCTCTATGAACAAACTTGCAGTGCATAAGCACTTTAACAGCCCTGCACATTTATGTCACCGGTGGTGGCAGGCTCTCTTAGCTTTGCTGAGAGAGTTAGGAACACCGTATTTCCTAATGTTCTGATACTCCTTATTTTTTTTTCTATTTCCTTGTACATTTTTGCCTGCTAATTTTCTTATGGCATACTCTTATTTATCTCCTCCTTTACTGAATTTTCTTTTATGAGCTTATTTTAGGATAATATTTCATTCAGACTATAGATTAGCATTTTGGAGTTTGGACTCATGGAATCTGTTTCTGTTGAATAACTACATGTGACCAGGGACAGCTTAGTTTTTCCTATTCTTTACCTGTTTTTAAAGAATTACAGTTATATTTGTTTCTCTAGGAAGTCTTAATCAGTGGTGGTAAAATCCTTTACAATAAAAGGCTGTCTACTGGATAACTGTGGCCTTTTTTATCTTATCTTTCTTATGCTTTTTTTTTCCTATTTCTCATCTATTCTTGAACCCCCTTTTCTCTTTGCATTCCATGTCTATTAGAATTACATCAAGAACAACTTGCATAATTTATGTGTGTGTCTGTTATGGACTATTTAATTTGTTTTAATTGATAATTCTGTTGTAAGCTGTTGTAAAAATGTCCTTTCTTTACTTTCTAAAGTTAAATTAATGCATTTTTCATTTTCAAGTTATTGTGTGTATCATCTTCTCCCTTTTGTTTTTCATGCTAGTCCATATACAGAGGATCTCCGGTTTGTACAATGGTTTTATGTAATTTGCCTTGTTTTTCTGCCTGAAATTAAATATTATTTCTACAGTTTCATTGCCTATAAGTGTATTTGGACAAAAAGTGAAATTGCATCGTTCAGGAGTATTTTTGTATCAAGATTTGTTATGTGTTTGCAAAAATCCATTAAAAATATAAAACCTATTTGAAATCCATTTCATAATTGTTATTATTGCATATGTGTGCGATAGTAACACATATTTTCTTTCCTAAATAGATTAAGCTTGTCAACATTAACTCAACTGATATTGCTGATGGTAGGCCTTCTATTGTGCTTGGCTTGATGTGGACCATAATTTTATATTTTCAGGTACAGCATTTTTTATAATTCAATATAGCTTGTTCAAATAATGCCGGATCATCATTTTGCGTGAGCTACTGTCATTCCATTCCTTCGTAACAGCTAAGTGTCTTTGTAGCTGGCTGAGGATCTGATCCTGAGTAAAGCAACATTTGATGATAGTGGTATTTTGCTGTGGGTAAAGTTAAACACCTTTCTCTGGAATGTATTGGCCTGGGCCTAGGATGGTGTTCTTTTAATATTGAAATGTATTCTCCCACTTCTGTTTCTGCAACAGAATGCAACAGAACAACAAAGGAAAAGAATTGTGGATTCTTGCAACAAGTAGTAGCAACATTGCAGCTTTAGCAACATTGATGGTGATTGTGTTCTTTGTCTGACTCCAATGCAGGTGATGTCAGACAGGAATTATATTCATGCAATAAGTGTAAACATGCTAATTTCATTGGGAGGTGCAGCTTTTTGCATGGACAAAGTTCAGCTGTAAACAATGTAAACGGAGAGGAGATTGAATTTGTTGAAGAGAAATCATAAATCATTTGTGTTCTTTGAAGTTAGGTGGGAGGAAAAAATCTTTTTGTAAATCCTGTCCGTATGAGTTAGCAAAATGAGTCACTGCTCAACGGTTACAAAAATACTACGTTTTCGTTGCTTTCCTTGATCAAAGCCTTTTGACTTTGATTCCCTCATGATGTGGTTTCCATATGTCTAAGGGGTGCTGTTCTCCTAAACGCCAACCAGTGTAACTCCAGTATGGTTCAGATCTCCCTCTTGGAAAGAAAGTTACCCAGAATGACACTTACATTTTTAATGTAGTTTGTGTCTCATTGAGATGATGGGGGAGAATCATGCTGCTTAAAGTTACTGAGACTCTAATTCTGGTTTTACTTGGGCCATTTTTTGAGAATTTCTTAGTTGTCACAAACAGGTACATCATTTTAACACAAATGAAAGCATAGATACAGGAGAACTGTGCTTTTTGCTATAGGAGACTCATTCAGTGATGTGCTATAAATCTTTGGTTTTTAAGTAGACAGAATAGAACAATCTTGCAATGTCCTCTGGATATGGCTTTTTCATATTAAAGCCAAACTGCAAGTGAGCTTGATGTTCTTGAAAGAGTCAAGTTAATGATTTTCATTTGATGAAAGGCATGAAGCAAATAATTGTGTCATGTGCCCTCACCAAGCAGTACTTATGCACTTTGCCTGTGGTGCACTCACTATTCCATCACAAAGGCACCTCTAGGAAGAGCTGCATTTGAATTTATGCCAAAACAATACAATGGTAAATAAAGAACTATCCAGATGATCTCATCAGGGTCACTTCCATTCTTTTAAGAAAGGGCTGGGAAGAGAATGAAGCTGGTCATAACCAGAAGATGCTCACTCTTGGTGACTGTTGGATAAGTGTCTGGAAAAGATGGTTTGAAGTGTTACTGTGGTTCAGATTCTTTAAGTTGAAAGTCTCCTCTGAAATCAGTGGACCTTTAAAATAATTTGAATTCAAGGAGAATGTAAACCATCATCTCCTGTTTCAGTTATAATTTGTCATGGTAGGCGGCCATGAAACTGGCTCACTGTTCTAGCTGTAGGGTGTCAGGAAAGTCAATGATTGCCAGATGTTACGTACGTCTGAAATTAAGACCATCATCTGGGCACGTAAATTAGAATTTTTGAGGGTACTTTTACTAACAGTTTAAAAAGAAAGAGACTGTCCTTAATCATAGCTTCTATCCAACTTTAGTTTCAGTCCTATTGATATATTTTTAAAGAAAGTGGTGAGGATTAAGAGGGTTATCTAGATTCAGTCCAGTAATGTTTTTTTTTTTTTTAATGCAGATTGAGGAGCTGACAAGCAACCTTCCACAGCTGCAGTCATTGTCTAGCAGCGCTTCTTCTGTGGAAAGCGTTGTCAGTTCAGAAACTGCGAGTCCTCCAAGCAAACGGAAGGTGGTAACCAAGGTCCAGGGAAGCGCCAGGAAGGCTTTGTTAAAATGGATACAGTACACAGCAGCAAAGTAAGTACCCCACAAATTAGCTGAATTTATATCTTAATCTGAAGAAAGAATTTACATTTATAAACCATCTCAGTTACAGACTATCCTTTTACTCTGTGTTTATGTAGCACCTCCCTGTGATGATATTTTTTTGGTAACTGGGGTGCTAAATGTTACCAGCATACAACAAACAAGTAATAAATAATAATTTGCATTAATTTCACAAGCGATCACATTGTATAGTCTCTGAATAATGAATGGGATTACCTTTGATAGAATGAGGAACAGAAAAGGGGAGTTAGATGTTCTTTGAATGACAATGTCTTAGTCCTACTGCCAAAACACTTGATGCCACAATGCAAGTCTCGCACTGAAATAGCACTTCTCAATGACAGAGCTTGCAGAAACAGTGAATTCTGGTACTTGCTCTTGAAATGCAAGTGATTAAAAATCGTGAATATCTTACTGCAACTTTGTGATACAAGTGGCAAAATACTGAATTTTCATTGTTTTTAAACTGAATTATTTCAGAAGCTTAGTCTTGTGATCTCTTGCTAACTTCAGAATGTTTTTCTTTATTTGATACAATTATCCAAAGTTTCCTCTGCTTCCAAAAAGGAAAACAATCCATAAATTGGATCAAAGAAGCATTAGTAATTTGATTGCTTCCACGATAAGAAAATAAAAATCAAAGGCATAAAAGAATAAAATGAATTTATTTGTTCAAATTAAGTAATCACTATTGTTTGAAGAAACCAGTCATATTCAGTAATGTGGAGGGGAACTCGCCAGTTCTAGAATAGTGCCTCGGTAAATTAAATATAATCATAAAGACTTAGGCTTTCTCTACTTCTTCAATAAGTAGGTAGAATACAGTAATTTGTAGCACAGTTTAGTCTAATTTGGCATTCTTCCTACAGCACTGTTGTTGGTAAGAGACAGATTGCTGAAAACTGAAAGTGGGCAGCTGCAATTTCCAGACAGATGTAAACATACAAAATAGGAACAAAGAGAGGTCCATAAATCAAATTGTCCCCATTATGGGGAAGAAGGATGAAATGCGTTGTAAGAAGTGTAGAGAAGTGATGGTACGTTTTGGCCCTCGTTTACACTGTAATGTGTAAGGGCTGGCCAAGTGCTCCCCAAAGTCAGTGAAGGTTTTGCAAAGGTTACAGTGTGTTTTGCAGGAAACCTACATTCAGAGTTACTGTTGCCGTGAACCTCCAAATAGCAAGGCTACTACAGTGTCTTAAGTGTGTACTCAGAGGAAATTTACATGTTCAGACTAAGTAACAAAAAAAACCCAAATAAACAAAAAACCAAAAATAACCCTCATACCTTTCAAAATTACTTTAAAAAAATAAGTAATCAGAGGTGTGATTCAATTCTGATTACTTTCACTTTGGTATATTGCTATTTATTCATCGTTTCTATTTATTTTTTAGTAAGAGTGTAAATGTTCTGGGTGTACAAAGTTATGGTATCACACATGCTTTAGATAAGAATTTTGAGAAATGTATTTGTGTTACGCTTTTGCCTGAACAGCAATGATATTGGAGTTCATGCTTTCATTTTAAAAGATAAGACTACTGTAATCAGGTTTTGGTGTGTTGTTTTTTGGTTTTGGGGTTTTCTTTTTGCAATACTGATGTACTTAACTGGACTGTAGTCATTATAACTGGGGGAGATATGACGTATTCTGTAATGAGGGCATGTAGAGTGAATGGAAATGTGTATATCTGCATATTCAGTATGAACTGTACAAGAACCTTGGTGCAGTTCATTTGTTCAAAATACCATTGGCTTATCACTGCTCGCAAGCTCTCTGGAGGCAAATGTATGTAGATGGCACAAAAATCTGGGGTCTCTGTATGCAGAGATGAATTAATGCAGTGAATGGGTGGAACTGTAGTTGACCTGGTTACCACTGCAGATGCAACAGGTAGTTTAGGACAAGTGACGTTTAGCCTCTAGGTGGAGCATCCCATCTCCTCCCTTATTTGATCTAGTCTCGATGTCCTTGTGAGTCACTCTTTTTCTTTCATGTTTTTAGGCAAGTTGGAATTGAAATCAAAGATTTTGGACAAAGTTGGAGGAGTGGTATTGCATTTCATTCTGTGATTCATGCTATCCGTCCAGATTTAGTGGACATGGAGAAAGTGAAGGGAAGATCAAATAGGGAAAACCTGGAAGAAGCCTTCACCCTCGCAGAAGCAGAGCTAGGAATCCCAAGGCTTCTTGATCCAGAAGGTACCTAAAGCATAGCTGAACAAAGTATAGACTGTTCGCATAAATTAAATCAAACGCTCTAAAGTGCTTAGACGGTTACCTAATATTTTTATGCCATTCATCTCTAAATTAATTTCCTGTGTTTTCTGTACTTGTCTAGATGTGGATGTTGACAAGCCAGATGAAAAGTCTGTCATGACCTATGTAGCCCAATTTCTGAAGTACTATCCTGATCCTCATCATACAGTGGCTGATGTGCAGGAGAATGATGTAAGTTTCTCTAATCAGCTTATCATGACAGGGGCTTATAAATATATTTTACAGCTCTCTTATAGTTTATCATATTTCCTTCTGAAGAGCAGTTCAAGTGAAAAGCAGATAGAGCTAGAAAACTGGGGAAGATCAATTGAGTATAAAGGAAGCAGTGTTACAGATGTGTACTGGTGTATGGAGAAAATGGTCATCCTGCAGAGATCTTCCCATTTTCAGCAGCAGGAGCCAAAAGGAACAGAAACAGTTATGGTAAATAGTAGCAAACCAATGGATCCTGAAGTGCTCTAAGAGTTTTTCGAGCACAACAGCAATAAGATTGCAAAAATGTATTACCTGAAGCAATAAGTCACTTCTCTTTCTATCACACTGTGTTTCTGAATAAGAGCAAGAATTGCCTAAGAGATGGCTTAGGCTTTAGCCTTTGGGCTTTTAGGCCTGGGAGGCAGTTATGGTCTTGACAGAGATTTCTTTCTATTACACAGTAAAGTTGGATTATTCACTCTATGGAACTGCTTTCAGTCGTGACATTTTCATGTTATTTATTTGTTTTATGCACGCTCTAGTGCATTGGTTTTGCATGAGAATGGTTTTACTCAGGGATGCCAAGGGATCGTGACTCACTTCCTAATCCTGATCATTCATTTCCTTCATGGTAAATGGCAAGAAATACTGCTGAGACAAATCTGCTCAGCCTCAGCAAGGGTGAAAGAGGCAGTACTTTTTATCTGTGTTTCTTTAGATCCCCTACAGAGCTATGGAAGAGCTTTGAAAGGAGCGAATCTAGTTCTTTATGGCTACATGTAGGTTTACTAGGTGTGACTAAGACAGCTTTAGCTTTGCTGTCCAATTCCATTGCCTCAGCGCTGCAGTTACTCATTTTCCTTGCTGGAGAATCGAAGTAAGAACATAAGTATGCCGATGCCGCAGCATCTTAACGGAGAGATGGGGGCTACCACAGGAGAGGGAGTGAGGGCTGAAGCCTCCTCCTGTGGCTTGTGGCAGGGGGGGGGGGGCCCCCCCCTCCTCCCCAC